AATACAGTACAAAGTAATATCAAATGTACATTCATACAAAAGGAATAGCCGTACAGAACAATCATTGGTCTTGCTGAGAATGGAGTCTAATGGAGCAATAAACACGAGTTCCCTGCTACTGTGACATGTCACGTATGAATTACTTAGTTATGTTTTCCACTCACGTGTCAGTTTTCCCCCCTTTCTTTTACTCTTTCGGTGACTGATGGCTCCCAATGTTATTATTGAAACAGATTGATCTTTTTAATGAGTGAGTTTAATAGACACCAAAATCTCACCGTGGTTGCTCATCCGTGTCAGACCATATGCACCAAGAAAACATTCCGTAAAACATAAAGCTTCCCTGTCACACTTGCAAACGCCTTTAAAGCCTAAATCTAGACTTCAGCATAACATCACAAGCAGTAGAATGGATGCAAAATAACATATTAATGCTAACATTGAGCAGATTTAGAAAATAATATTTCATCTTCAATGGCATATATTTTTTCACACGTGCTGTTAAACCCTCTCTGTTTAACAGATTTGAATGCAGAAAGGCTAATAGAGAATACACATGCTAGAACTAAGTTAGAAAAGGCATCTTAAAAGAGATCTAATTAATATTATTATTATACAGGATTTATATAGCGCCAATAGTTTGCACAGCGCTTTACAATATAAGGAAAACATTACAGTCACAATACAATTTAAGACAAGATGGTAAGGAGGTATGTAAAGGGTATATTGGAAATATACTTCTTAATGATTGTTCCATCTGGAATAATCAGACCCTTGAATGACTGTTTTCCCTACCAACCTAAATATCCAATGTCAGACAAAGGTTGGTCACAGCCAGTTTATTAAAAGCAAGAAAGCTACTAATTTCATACATGGCATATGATTATCAGGATGTTTGTGGTATTCTAAGGAGTAATGTTACTCAGAAACTCAGATACACTCATTGTCACACAGGGTACAATGCATATGCCACTGTCAACAGCAGATGAGTATTGCAAACTGAGGATAGTTGATTCCAGAGCTTAGTAAACTAATGCAACTATGGGCAGACATACCACTATCTGTTGTTATCAGGGTATAGCCAGTTAAACTAAATAAAATAAGTGAAAAAAATTAAATGCCAGCTTATTCCACCTAATGGCAATCAGAATTAAGTGACAATTTTCTAACCTGTCCGGTCAATATACTAACAGTTACTCTTTTGTTGCACAGGTTGTACCCATACATGATCATACTAAAGTAGAATAGAGTTGGAATTGTTTTGGACCCTACAACATTTCATGCTCACATGTAGCACTTAAAGGTTTGTAAGAGGAACCAATCCAGGGGCATTGGTTAAAGGTTTGAAAGAAAATCCATTCCAGGGCCATTGGAAATCCAACCATAGGATGTGATTATGGATGACAGTTAATCTAAAATGAAATGTGGACATTGTGTCTTCATTACAAAAACTCACACCTACAGTTCCATTAAATAGTAACATGTGGCACTACCAATCCATGACATGAATTTGATTTGCACTGATGGAGTTAAGAAGGATTTTTTTCCCCACTGTAAGCATAAATTGGCCGCTCCCTCATTTAGGGTTTTAATTTGCCCTCTTTTAGATTTGGAAAAGTATTGGAATAAGAATGGGTAGAACTTGATGGACTCTTTTAATCAGGCACTTTTAATAACACAAGACAATATTTCTGTGAGAAAAAATTTGGACAGAATGATCTACCGCTCTGGCCAAGAGGCATGATGCAATGTCCCTGTCTTCTGCTCTCATCATAACTCTGTCTCCTATGATGGACAAAAATCAGTATTATTACTTTTGATTACCTCTTTCCTTGCACATGCACTTTGGTCAGAAGCATAATATTATCAAGAGGGTAGGTGGCAAAGGCAGATGCGGCACTTGGTTTTTACAGTGATAAAGTCTTTAGTATATTTTGAAATGTATTTAACTCCTACGCTAGTCCTGTGTGTTTCGTTTGCTTGTAACTATGGCTGCACTTTTGGATAAGCCAGTGCAGCCATAGACAAGAAACTGTCAATCAGCACTTAAAAACATCAAGACATCAAACCAATCTAACATTCTTATGGGAGTAAATGTACAAAAAGTGCAGGTTTGTAAATAGGTGGTGTTTAAATTGCATTTAAGGTATCTTTTAAAATAGCCAAAAATAATAACTAGTTTAATTGTACTGCATTAGAAACATGGAATGGAGAACAGGAATGATAGGTGGCAAAAAATGTTTTTCCTTTCAGTCACATCCATCATAAGATTCTATATGAACTGTGGCTTAAATTAAAATGCACATATTTTAATAAATGTTATAAACTATAGATCTAAAAACCCACAAAGGAAGTAATTATTGGACTAGAGAATATTATATACTATTATTTTTTTTTCCTGTGGACAATTCTTCACAACATGGTGCTGAAGAAATTTGCATGGGATGAGTTGTAGAAAAATAGCTTCTGGCTAAAATGTTTGACATCTCTAATTTCACGCTTGAAAGGGCTGAGTTTGTGCTGACAAGCCCAACAAAGAAGCATGCAACAAATAGACTCAGAGAATAATGCCAGTTCCATAAAAATGCAATTTTTGCGTTTTTTAAACTAATATAAAGGTATTCTCTGAAAAAGGTCTGTTCGGTGCTCATGACATAAGTAAGCTTATTTTATATGACATCGAGGAAAATTCAGCAACCCAAAGCCTCTAGTTATCATCCTAGATCGTTTTAGCTTTCTTGTATTTGTTTAAGCAAACAAAAACCTTAAAAAAGGGTGCCTGCAAAAGAAGGCCTTTAATATTTTCCTCTCCAGTGGGTGTCAAGTCCCCACTTTGCTCTCTTCATGAGCTACAGCCTTTGGCAGAATTTTTCAGTTCAACAGACTTCTGGGTGTGTCAGATGCCTGGTGCTCCAGTGTGTTCTGTGATTTCTCCCACTGGCTACGTCGCTACTGTGCCCACTGTGCTACGTCACTACAAGTGATGTAGGGGCTGGCAAAGGGAACCAGAGTGCACAATGGGGTACACAGGCATCTGACAAACCTGGAAGATTTAGATTCTGTACTTCCTCTTTCTGTAGGCCTGAACATGAATAGTGCTCTAATCTCAACATTAGGGAAGTGTTTGCTGGCAAAAATGACCTGGGGGGGGTCATTTCATTCCTGCATATCGAGGGGTGCTCTACAGATTATGGGTAGTTTTATTTTGAAGTTGTAATAGGCTTCCACTGGGGCCGAGAACTTCTAAAACGTCATGGACTTTTTGAAATCCAATCTGGGAGATGTCATATCTTGGCCCACATGCAGTATAATATCTTCAGTGATTGCAAATTTTTTCCAAAATTGCTTAAATCCTCTTTATGCCATAAACATTGATTCAATGTGCTTAAAAAATCATATTATAGGTTTCATATTAACACCCTCAATGCTGTAAAAAGAAATCCCAGGTCTCCCCTGCTTTCTCTGGGAATAACACATTTATTTAGGCATAACAATTATAATTATGATTGCAACAGCTTGAAACTGAACTCTAATATAAAAGACACACAGCAATGCAGATATGTCATCTTTATTCAGTGTAGGGAGTGTAAGTACCTGACTCTGACCTGGTGTCAGCCTCTTACAGTGCCTGTACAGCAGGGCTGGTTTCTGACTGGAAGAAACAGCACAAGGAGACAGTCAGTTCATGTGTTGACAAGAAGCATGCTGATAGGAAGAGAAAGCAGAGTAACAGAGCGATGAGATCATCACTATGCTGCTTCTGCTCCAGGACAAATTGGAGGAAGTAGGTTGAATGATGCTAGTCATCAGACTGAGGACATCTAGAGGTAGAAAAAAAGTACTGTGGGGGAAATCTCTGGGTTGATGGAAAATATTGGAGCTGGTTTGTTATGTTGTCTTTTAATGGGGTATTCCTTCTTATTTTGTTCTTTTTGGCTGGAGTTGTGCTTTAATAAACAAATGAATCCCATACAATGCAGAAGTTCCCCAGGATTTTTTTGCACTGATACATGGTTGTTGAGCCCAACCTGGTGGCCCTCTGGGCACCTGGTGAGCACCTGCACTAAAGCTTAATAATGTTATATATTAAAGCCAGTGACGGACTTAGATATACTGTTGGCTATCTCACCAGAATTGTATATTACTTTTCAGGGATTTTTGTTTTTAAACATCCACAGAAAGCAAAGCCAACCCACATCCTGTTATACATATACAGTACAGAGTACTTTTGACAGACTAGTTTGCTGCATTCCATGATAATAAAACATATCAAGTCTACAAACATATGTTGGTAGGCACCAGACTAAAACCACATATATGTTATACTGGAACTATGAAGAAAACATGAAAGCAACTAGACCTTGTAATTTAAACGTCTTTCTTCCTTCGAACCATGTTTTATGTATTATTTTATTCTTAGAGCATATTTCTTGGAATGTCTTCTGGAAGCATTTGTGGGGCCGGAGCGAGTGGAGCAGCCAGATAAGGCTTATTTTATGAGCATATTAGAAATAAAAATTGTATTTAGTCTGCAGTAAGATCTTGCAGCATGAAAGATGATTTGTTGAACTGAACTTATCTTGTGCTGCTAGACTTGTACAACTCAACTGATGTAATAAGCAAGTGATATGTTTCCTATGCTTTTATAAAGCATTCCAGTTTTACACACGCATAATGGAGACACAAGAGTTGCCAACTATCCAGAAAGATACATACAATCGGTAAAAAATAAGGACAATTTAATGTTGACTGTAAAGTCCACGAAAACAAACAAATGTATTTTATCCTATAGTTGATTATCATTCAGATAATGTTTTTATCATGAGACACAAAAGGAAATGTATCTGCTGTGCCCTTCCAAATAGTGGGTGTGTTATCTACACTGTGCATTGAATAATTAATGCCCCCACCTCCCCACCACCATGCCACTGAGTAAAATATTAAATTAAAAAAGATTTATTGGGGCTTTTCACCATTTGATTACTACAACATACAAGGTGCAAACTATTTTTAATTGAGACACAGAATCAAATAAATAATAAAGGGAGACATCTGTTAATTACATCAATCCAGCACCATTAATCCAGCAACTGAATCTTGCAATTTATTGCCATTTTCTTTTTTCTTTACGAGTTGTTCTATTTCTGTATGGTCATATGGGAAAATGTTTCACATCCTACCACAGATTCTCAACTAGATTGAGATCTGGGCTTTTACTGGGTCACTGTAACACATTCAAGTTTTTGGTTTGAAACAACGGTGTCATTTTGTGTGCTCAGGGTCATCATCTAGCTCGGATTTTACCTCCATCAAGTCTCAGATCTCTTGTAATCTGGAACATGTGTTCCCCCAAAACTACTGTGCATTTGGTTCCATGCATTTTGACCTGCTGATGAGGAGCACCCCACTAAATATTTTCAGGGTGATAAGCAGAGGTGGTGCTTTTCCACTCAAAATGTTTAGTGCTGAGGCCAGAAAAATTTAAGATTTTTTTTTTTTAGCAATTGCTTTCTGCATGTCATTGTTTCATAAAGCTCACCAAGTGATTTGCCCAGGTATTAGGAAAGCGGAGTTGCGGAGATCCCATGTTAGCTGTGGATCACTGCAGCTCCTTTAAAGCTAATATTGGCTCCCTGGTTGCTTTACTGACTAAACGTCTTTCTTACCTGGTTGCTGAGATTTGGTAGATGAGACAGTCACAATCATACCATATTCTTTCCAATTTTGAGTAAAGGATTTAGTGGTGCTCCAGGGGACATTCAATGGTTTGGAGATTTCTGTATTACATCATAGCCTTATCCTAGACTATTGTGATAGTGCCTGTGTCTTAAAGTATGTTATTCGTGTCTTACACAATATCATTACTAAAGTGCTCCTTATAAAAGGACTGTTTACGAAAAATGAGACCTTGTATCATTCTGGGTAGTTTGGCATTGTTATGGTAATGTACCCTTAAGATTTTTGGTTGATCTTCATTTTTGTCCAGTTCATAAAAATTTAATTTCAGGAGGAAGTTGTCTGGCTTACTTTATAAGGCTGCAATAAAAGGGACCATGTCCAAAACACAGCAACCCAGAGCAACCTATCAGATTCCACTATATTGTGGTCATATTTAAAAGTTTAAGAGCATGTCCATTTCAAACTTATATTTCAGACAAGGAAAGCAATGATGTACTAATGCACCCTCTGGCATCTCACAGCTCTTGGGTGCTCCATTGTGAACAGCTCCCAAATGAATGTTCAGGTTCTAATTATACCTACCACTTCTGCTGTGTGAACAATAGGGTAAAATAAATAAAAGTCCAACACGTAAATTGAGACTTTATCATAATGGCCACGCTGTATGGATTAAACTAGGAACTCAGAACAGACCCCAGAAATGGAGCCAAATATCTATAAGAAGTCAGTTGATAATTCATATCATTATCATTCATTTAATTTGTAAATACAAAAAAAAAAAAAACAGTTTTGGCAGTTTTGACTCACTATGGTATTTGCTCGTTATACTTTCTTCCTGATTAAACCCAATTGAAGATCTAAGCTGATAGTAAGTCTCACTCGATATCATTAAAGCAAAAAGTAATTTCCTCTTTAGAAAATCTACAGGGTATAATGCAAACCTGCAAAGGTAACTCTTTTGCAAAGTAACGGAAGACTGGTAGTAGAGACATGAAATCTATACCCTGGGTCTTTACCTATCAGGAGTTCTCCTCTTCCCGTTTTCATTCACATCAAGAAGCAGTTCTGATGAGTCAACAGGCGAGGTGGTGCTGGCATCCAGGAGCAGCTGCTCATGCTGAGCTAGGTATTGGGCTGGGTTCTGCTTGGCGAGTCTTGCGCAGTGCAGAAGTTCCCGCTGCAGCAGAGGCAGATTGGCCTATGATATTAACAGGAAACACAGAGGTAACAGCTTGTTACAGTCTGAACTCTGAAAAGCATGTCATTTTATTTTCAAATCCCTGTAACAGTTTGACAGAATCTATAATCATTCTTCCTTGTGTTCCATACTCCATGCAAAGCTGCCATCACCAGGGTAAAATAGCAGAAGAAAAGTCTGCACTATTAATGTTAAGGCCTTTTAATGTGGTAATAATCTGTCTATTGCACGTTGTTTAAGTGCCAAGAACTATTATCTTTACCAAAGCTTTACAATAACAACATTATGTGTCTTTGTTTAATGACAATATTATGCTATGTTAGTAGTTGTGCACAGTTCCCAGACTCCAAAGCCCATTATTTAAAAATGCATTGCTGATTTACTAATCATATAAAGTCTATTTAAAGTTTATGCAAACCAAAAAATAAATATTTTATATATTGCAGCTTACCAGTCCTTAGATTTGGTGACTGCATTATTTTTCCTTTTGCGGGCTTCTTTTCTTTTTATTTTCAGCTGGTGATCCTGCCAGTAACACACTTCCTGTGCTTGGTTGACAATGCAAGCCGTACTGTATTTGTGGAATAGCGGCCTTGTCAAAATAGGACAGGAAGTGTGTTCAGACCACATAACAATCCCCCTCCCCCATTTATCTCTGTAACATAGCAGCAAGGTGTTCTGTAGTCTTCTCAGAGAGAAAGGCTAATAACAATGTCTGACATTTAAGTGCAACATTGTCAGTTCACTACAGGAAGTTAAATGCTCACTGGATCTTTGTCAGGAACAACAGGTATTCTTTGCACTTATGGGAAAGATATAACAAAACACTTTCATTGGTATAATTAACAGACCAAAAAAAGAAATCAATAATGGAAGTTAATTGTTAAGGTTTACATATATGTTATCTGCTACAAGTAGCTAAGTACTTGGTTCCTATGGGATAGAGACCATCAATGCCACTACACTATGGGGTCTATTCACAAAGCTGCCGAGGGCAGCCGAGTGAATGACCGATCAGAAGTGAAGTGAGCCGAACACTGTTCGTGTAAAAACTCTCCCTGGGGCCCCGGGAGCCCCCTCGCCGCCAAGGAGAGAAACACAGCTGTGTCTTTTTTTCTTCATTCTGGCACGAGCGATGTCAGAATAGAGGAAAAAACTAATTCCCATTCAAAAGCATTGAGAGTTTACTATTGGCTATTTCAATTTGCAATAGCCAATAGGAAACTAGCATTGTTCC